GTTTCCTATGGGGCCACGAAGCGTGTGAGAGGTGTGCCGACATGGATGTGGGTGACGCATGCGGGCGGTGGCACTGGGGCCTTCGGTGGAGCTCACTATGGGGCCACGAAACGTGTGAGGCGTGTGACGAAATGGGTGTGGGTGACGCATGCGGGCGGTGGCACTGGGGCCTTCGGTGGAGCTCCCTATGGAGCTACGAAACGCTGTACCTGAAGATTGACAGGTACAACAGCTTTACGGATAAAGGGGCGGTTTTCAAAATGTGGCTCTCACACTAGTGTCGCGCACGTTCGCCGTAGTAGTCTTAAGTAATTGTACAAGTGGCAACAGTTTCACGGATGGAGGGCGGCTCCTTTTCAAAATGTGGGTTTGGCCGTAGCGCCGCGCCCATTCGTCGTCAAAGTCTGCAACAGTTTCGCAGATGGAATGCGAGTCATTTTCAAAATTGCGTTTTCGCGCTAGCGCCACGCACATTCCTTTCAACATATTGCACTAGCTTCACGGACGGAGGCTGGTTCCTTTTTCAATAGATTGTGATCAGCCTTCGCGCCGCACACGTTCGTCTACGTTCCTGGATGGAGGGTGGGTCGTGTTCTGTGCGTCGACTTAGCGCCGAACAAATTCGTCTTAAGAGTCTCCAACAGCTTCACTGATGAAGGGGAGGCCTACGTGTAGCTCTCAGCTCAGCGCCGCGCATGTTCGTCCAAATAGTCTGCAACAGTTTCACGGGTGGAAGCGGGGGAGCGCCGCGCACACTCGTCTTCAAAGTTTGCAACAGCTTCACGGATGAACAGCAGTTCCTCTTCAAAATGCGGCGCTCGCCTAAGTGCCGCGCACGTTCGCACTGAAAGTCTGCAACAAGTTAACTGGTGGAGGGCGGGTGGTTTTCAAAATGCGGCTCTCGCCGTAGCGCTGCGTAAATTGCTTTCCAAAGCTGCGACATGTTCACAGATGGAAGGGGGCGGTCTTCAAAATTGGGCTAACAGCCTTAGCGCCGCGCACATTCTCTGTAACAAGTTGCACTAGCTTTACGGATGGAGGGTGGTTCTCTTCAAAAACGGGGCTCTCGCCTCAACTCCGCGCGCATTCGTTGTTGCAACGCAAGGTTCAGCAGGAGAGGAAGATACCCTTTTTCACACTGGAAATATCACCTGAGGCTTCGCTATGTGCAAGGACCCCGAACTCCAACGCACGTAGCGCTCTGCTGATCCATGGCGGGGTTTGCTTCAAATGGAGCTGTCGCTTGAGACTTCCTCGAAGTTCATGACCACAAGAACAAACCTGTGCAACAGTTAAACGGATTGGGGGCGGTCCTTCTTCAAACAGGAGCGTTGCTGGACACCTCGCTGAACTGTTTGATCATTGTTGTTTCGCATTCCTGACTGCGCGCCAGAAAGGTGCAAGGCAGCTCTGTTGTTCAAATGGGGCCCTCGCCAAAATGGCATGCCCAGCCGGGCTAGTCTTTCACCGGGGGCGTTTCTTGTAGTGAAAGAGAGGGCTTGCTGGGGCGCGTGGGAGGATATGTAGGACGAGTGAGTCTATTGCAGCATCGCGTACGCATCCTTGGTTTACCCTGGTCTTCTTCCTCCTCCTCCTCCTACTACTACTCCTCCTCCTCCTCCTCCTCCTCTTCCTCCTCCTCCTCCTCCTTCTCCTCTTTCCTCCTCCGCTCTTCCTGTCGACAATTACGAAGTGTGAACACCCCTTTCCTCTCTTCCCTGACTCTGTCTAGGGGTATTGGGCCCTCTCCACCTGCTGCTTGTGATCCCGCATAAACTGTTCAAAAGGTGATATGTCTATGCGCGTTTACACTCCGATTGCTTTCGGTGCTTACTCCAGATTTCGTAATAAAGGGAGGGGGGTCTCATTTCGGGGGGGGTCTCTTCCAGGCTATCTTGGAGGGCCTGGGGGGTCTGGGGACGATGTTTTGGAGGGTTCTCCCACGGGGGAGGTCTGAAATGGCTTGTCTTGGAGGGTCCAGACCCCCTCCCTTTTATTACGAAATCTGGAGTATGAAATTGTGCTCTCGCTGGAGCGTGGGCCTCATTTTCGGATCGGCGTGATGCTCCCGTCGTTCAGAACGGCGCTCTCGCCCAAGCGGGAGCCACTTCTCTGGATCCCACGGGTCTCGCAGGCCCCACAGGGCTCGCAGGTCCCGCGGGCCACCCAGGTCCCACAAGCTCCACGGAACAGGTGTCGCGGGTCGTCCCAGAGGTCCCCCAGGTACCCCGGGCCTCACGGGTTCCACAGGTGACAGGTCCCACAGGTCCCACGGGTGTCGCAAGTGACGCAGGTCCCACAGGTCCCACGGGTCCCACAAGTCAGGTCCCGCAGGTCCCGCAGGTCCCACAAGTGTCGCATGTCTCACAAGTCGCACAGAGGTCCGTCCCGCCAGTGCCACAGGTCCCGCAGGTCTCGCAGGTCTCACGGGGCCCCACAAGTCCCACGGGTCCCATGGGTCTCGCAGGTCTCACAGGCCCCACAGGCAACAGAAGGCCCCCAGGTCGCGCAGGTCCCACAAGTCCCGCAGGTCCCACAGGTCCCTCAGATCCATAGTTCCCACCTGCCTCACGGATCCCACATGTCCCACACGTCCCATAGTCCACAGATTTTCCGATTGCGCAAAACACGATGGAGTCTTTTGTGGAATTCCAGGTCGGCTATGACACGCGTCCGCGGATAGAGAAACAACGACGCACTGGGAAGCGATGCGAGGGATTGGATGTCAAATATGGCGCGAGCGCACCTAGCTTGCCTCACATAACCCTCGCCTCTCCCCACTATTCCCCGCTCACACCCCCATGCCTTCCCCTCCTTCCCTAAGACGAAGCCAGGACAGGGACAAAATCGGAGAGGGATGAGTCGGGGATCTCTGAGATCTGAGTGTGTCCTGGCAAGCTCTGGAACGATTTACCCCCGCCCCGCCCCCTTCCCCCCGATCCACCCCCCCCTGACGGAGGAGATGGCCAGGAAGGGAGATTCCCCTGGTCGGTCGGACTCGGCATTTGAAGCTGTCTGCGCGCCGTCTGGCTGAGAACTCTCAGCCCGAGAATTAGGTCGGGCTTGTCCTCCTACAGGCGGACTTTGAGCGGAACATTAAAGATAGTCCAGAAATACAAAACAAAACAAAAACAGAATGGAAAAACGTCCCCTGAGTATTTCCCAACCATCCTGTGCTGTTGGGTCCTCGTCTTGAAGAGCCGGTCCCCGCGTTCCTCCTCCTCCCTCCTCCCTCTCCTCCCTCCTCCCCCATCCTCCCTCCTCCCTGCGTTTCACCCACCCAGTACATCGTTTCGTGGCCACATAGGGAGCTCCCAGTAGGACCGCCCGCATGCGTCCCCGAAGCCCAATTGGGCACACCCCTCACACGTTTCGTGGCCCCGTAGGGAGCTCCACCGAAGACCCCAGTGCCACCGCCCGCATGCGTCCCGAAAACCCGATTTGGCACACCCCTCACACGTTTCGTGGCCCCATAGGCAGCTCCACCGAAGGCCACAGTGCCACCGCCCGCATGCGTCCGTCACCCACACCCATGTCGGTACACCCATCACACGTTTCGTGGCCCCATAGGGAGCTCCACCGAAGCCCCCAGTGCCACCGCCCGCATGCGTCCCGAAAATCCAAACTGTCACACCCCTCACATGTTGCGTAGCCCCATAGGGAGCTCCACCGAAGGCGTCAGTGCCACCGTCCGCATGCGTTCCGAAAACCCAATTTGGCACACTCTTCACACGTTTCGTGGCCCCATGGGGAGCTCCACCGAAGGCGTCAGTGCCGCCGTCCGCATGCGTCCCGAAAACCCAATTTGGCACACTTCTCACACGCTTCGTGGCCCCATAGGGAGCTCCACCGAAGGCCCCAGTGCCACCGCCCGCATGCGTCCCGAAAACCCGATTTCGGCACACCCCTCACACGCTTCGTGGCCTCATAGGGAGCTCCTCCGAAGGTTCCAGTGCTACCGCCAGCATGCGACCCCCCCACCCAGTACAGCGTTTCGTGGCCCCATAGGGAGCTCCACCGAAGCCCCCAGTGCCACCGCCCGCATGCGTCCCCCCCACCCAGTACAGCGTTTCGTGGCCCCATCGGGAGCTCCACCGACGGCCCCAGTGCTACCGCCCGCACGCGTTCCCCCCCACCCACCCAGAGCAGCGCTTCGTGGCCCCATAGGGAGCTCCACCGAAGAAGATATTCACAATTGCGGTACCCACAACTGCATATGGTTGGGTCCCTCGCCAGGATAATGTTTTGACTATGTTTGAATATTCCCCCGGTACAGGGACACGCCCGAGCCTGAGGATCAAGGGGGCGCACCTGCAGCTGCCGCCACCATCCCCAGCGAAAGGAGGCCTGGTCCTGAGCCCCAGGAGGCCCAACACACAGAACCGAGAGTCGGCGGCGTGCGAGGGGGGAGAGAGCGAGAAGGGGCGAGCCTTCTCAGAAGGCTCGAACTCCCCTGGCCTTCTGAGAAGTTGCTAAAGCCCTCCACTAATGCGCGAAAAACCTCCCAGAAGGCGCGAGGGTTTCGGAGAAGTCCCGCCGCCTCCCGAGAAGGTCGTCGCCTCCTCGCCTCCCCCCCTCGCTCGCCGCCGAGAGGGGGCGGTGGACGGCGCGACGCGCTTCGATGTCCCCCTGGGCGGCAGGCGGAGGCGAAGGGCACGGAGGCGGCGGTGCCCGCTGCCGGGCCGAGGGTCCTGCCCCCTCGGGTGCCGAGGGCGGGGGCGAGGTCCACAGAGCGGAGGCGGCAGGCACGGGCGGGGGCTGCCCAGGCGGGTCCCCTTCGAGGGCCCCTCCCGGTCCCCTTCGAGGGCCCCCGGGAGCCCCTCTGGGCCTCGTGCGGGGTGCTCTGGAGGCCGTGGGGCCTCCTTGGACACCCTGGGGACACCCTGAGGAAGGGACACCTCTGGCAACACCCGTCACGGGCGGTGGAAACGAAAGGAAAGACACAGGGCAGCGTCGTCGTCGCCGTCGTCGTCGTCGTGGTCGGTGGCGGCGGCGGCGGCCGGCCCTCGCCTGCCGGATGTCGGCCAGCGCGGCCTTCTCGCGCTGCAGCGCGGCGCGCGCGTCCGCCTTCATCTTGAAGGCTTCCAGCCGCTGCTGCTCCAGCGCCTCTCAACGAGGAGCCCGAAGGGCGGAGGGGGGAAGACGAGGGGGAGCGAGGACGAGGGGAGGGAGGGGGAGGAGGACAAGGAGAACGAGGACGAGGACGAGGAGGGCGAGGAGGACGAGGAGGGCGAGGAGGACGAGGAGGACGAGGCGGGCGGGTGAGGAGGAAGAGGAGGAGAGCGAGGAGGACGAGGAGGGTTATCTGGACGACGAGGGAGAATGAAGGAGGAGGAGGAGGAGGAGGAGGAGGAGGAGGAGGAGGAGCGGGAGCGGGAGCAGGAGAGGAAGGAAAAGGAGGGGGAGGAAGAGGAGCACCCGTAGGGCGAGGAGAAGTAACAGCAGCAGCAGGAGAAGCAGCGGGGCGGCCAAGAGGACGAGGGCGCCCATGAGGACGAAGAGGATGAGCAGAAGCACGAGCAGGAGCAGTAGCAGGACAAACAGGAGGTAGAAGACCACTCGCCCTGGGCCCATCCCCCTGGCTACGGTCGGACAAGCCTGCCGGGCACGGACTATCTCGAGCTGGCCGGCCTCCCAGGTGTC